TTAATAATGAAGCTAACTCAGCCATATAAATTATCCTAAGCCAACAACCATGAAAGCTCGTTGAAACCTTAATACCTCTGATATACTTTAACAGTGATAATTGCATCCACTGTAGACTCCTTGTGGTGGCTGAGTAATCCTGCTGAGCTTGGTGGTACCGTAATCTTTCAGAAACAGGGTGCCCACCAAGTTAGCCAGTTGAAATCAAAAAACAGAACACTGTTCTCAAGCTTCCTTTCCTAAATCACACAAAGATCACGCTTTCTTCCCCTACTTCTCTTGAGTCCTTTTAATGACCATTTAGGAGAGAAGACCTACTTAAATTGGAGCCAGTTTGTCTATGGAAATTCAAGGAGATTTGTAAGAACAGCATAAATACGTGTGCTCGTATATAATGATTTCATAAACTTTCCACGGTGGAACAGATTCTTTCTAGCCAGCTAAATTTCTGATGATAATAAATTTCAAGTTGGCCCTAAATTTGAAATTTTGGTCATTGATAAAGAATACTCAATACCTATGGGTTAGCTATGGGAAAAGTATTTGTTGTGCTGAGAATAATGTAAACCAAAGTGTACATGTACTTAAAATGCTTAGCTAAGAGAACACACTGTTCCCAAGCACGCAAGAAGCACCAGTTTAAAAATACAATGAGATTGTAACCTGAGATGAGGCCTGCAAACCTGGGTTGCAAATTTGCTGTGCTCAGTATAACCCCTACTTGATGAGGCCATCTTGCCTCCTGCCCACTGACTATTTGTATCCAAGTCACTAAATGACGTTTCTTTAAAGAAACAGCTTGTAAATCTGTTTTAACTCACATAGACTTCCAGCCTTCCCTTCAATCGTTCTGCATTGGTGAGGTCCTACCAAACTGTTTTCTCTTGGCTGCTCTTGTTATAATCTCCCTGCAGGGAAATGCAGTTGGCGGTATTCAAAATTCAAGTATTTAAAAAATGAGCATCATTCTCAAAACAAAGTGAATTTCCCATTTTTTACAAACAATATCATTCTATGGGAAAATATTCACAATGCATTATTATGTGTAAAAAGCAGTCAACCAAAGATATTAACCATATTACATTTTGACAGATAACATATATCAAATTATGTGTTAATAATGGGACAAGATTTGACTTTTTTCTTTTCATTGAGGCTTCCTGTATTTTTTAGCACGTTTTCAATGCTGAGCATGTATACTTAAGAAACATGGCCGGGCGCGGTGGCTCACGCCTGTAATCCTAGCACTCTGGGAGGCCGAGGCGGGCGGATTGCTCAAGGTCAGGAGTTCGAAACCATCCTGAGCAAGAGCAAGACCCCGTCTCTACCATAAATAGAAAGAAATTAATTGGCCAACTAATATATATATAGAAAAAATTAGCTGGGCATGGTGGCGCATGCCTGTAATCCCAGCTAGTCGGAAGGCTGAGGCAGAAGGATTGCTTGAGCCCAGGAGTTTGAGGTTGCTGTGAGCTAGGCTAATGCCACGGCACTCACTCTAACCTGGGCAACAAAGCGAGACTCTGTCTCAAAAAAAAAAAAAAAGAAACATGATAATGCTTTGTAAAAAACCTATCACAGGCCATGGTTTGTTTCCACAGCACCTTTGTTCTCAGGTCCATGGTAATGTGTCACATCATGTTCTAAGCGTATATAGATAAGGCAATTGATGCAGTGACCTTTCCTCAAGTGGAGTGACAGCTATGTGGCAGAGAGTGTGCCTAGCACCAAACCATTGACTGAATTTATGGAGTAAACAAGTGAAAGGGTTTGCTTGGTTTCTGTGCAAACCAAGCTTCCAGTTGATACAGTGGGTACCTCCCTCTTCATCCAGCTGATTTCAACTCCCATAGGACTGTTGACTTAAGGTCCCTAATCTCCTCTGTCTCCTTAGACTAAGGGGGATGAGGTGCTGGTGAGGGGCAGGCCACCCCTGCATGGGTGTTGATCTTAGGGTTAGGGTGTGTGGTTGGGTAGCAAGGCTGTCAGTCCCACATAAACCATATAGAAGAAGGCTCCTTGCTTAGAGAGGGTCTGTTATCGGAAGAAGTGGGGAAGGATGTTGGACAGGCAAAAATAGACACCTGTTAGAGAGTAAAAGTGAAATGATTATTACCCAGAATAATGACAAAAGTGCTATTGAAATCCTATCATGACACCAAGCCAAATGGATTGTTTTCCCCCAGGAAAGTAGTGCAGTAACCTTGGTAGAGACCTGCGGGTCCTTCTGTCCAAAGGCATTCTCTGGGTCCACCCCACGTACATGAGTTGATGCTTTGCTTCGTAGCCCTGGAGCTACTGCAGGGGCAGGAAAGATTGCAAGTGGAGAACAAATAAAACTGTCGAAATGGGATTTTAATAGCTTTTCATGTTTTCACATAATATTACACTGGCTACCAAGAGCATAGTAAAAAAGAGAATTTTCACACTTTGCTCTTCAGATGTCATTTAAATCTCATTAGGTAGATCCTTGTGAAATGATGACACTGGCAATAATGATTCCTTTTTAATTCTCCAGTCATTTTGGCCATTGCAAGGGCCCTGGGGAAAACATGAGCATTTGGCTGATAAGAGTTAGTAGGGACTGTAAGGAATTGATAATAATTATAAAACAGTTTTACCTTCTCCCAACTCAATTGGCTGGGCAAAGTCAAACTTGATTGTGGTTAATTATGTCAGATTATTTTGTTGGTTTCTTTGTCATCAACTGGTAAATGAGAGTTTGTTATAAAAGTTGAGATACCAAGATGCTGGGCCTACAGCTAGGGTTGGGGGATGTAGAAGGAGGGTGAGGGCTTGAGGGATGTTTGGGCAAATAGTATGGTAAATTGGGTGTTGGGGAACATTGGCCCAAAGGGCCTTCTGCCACAGCTGGAATGTGGCTTCTTCTGATTCATTATCATTTACAAATTGCAGTTTTTGTCATCATTTGATTCTCTGAGACCTAAAAGCTAAATGCCTACCTGTTAAAAAATCAACTTATTTGAGTGAACAATTTAGCTTAACATTTTGATCGTAGTAAAAGTAATAATAAAATAGAAGACGCATAGTATTCATGTAGTTCAAAGAGACAATGCAGAATTCTGTGTTTCTAAGACTTGTTGACTGGTATTAGGTTTACAGCATGTCTAGACATTAGACATCTTCTCATTTCTATCCCCACTGTATTATAGTGAAGGCAAAGCTGAAGCTTGAAAAGTTATACGGCAACATTTTATCAGGAGCGACTGGCCACATTTTCTACAAGTTACAAATAGAATATGGGTTTCCTACTTCCTCTGAAATGTTTGTGTGGTTATCAAAGTCCTTCACATAAGGACTCCCAATCGAGCGCTCAGTAGAACTCTCGAGCGACACAATCAATCGCTGCCTTTCGTCCCTTCCGAAGGGAAAGCCCAAGTTAGCCAGTGCAGCACAATTCAGTGGAAGCTCCAATCTCAACAGTGCTTGGGGAACTCAGAGACTCCCCTCCTGACAGAAACGTTTGTTTCCAGCTTGGGCTCTGGGTATTTCTGAGCCACGTGCACATGGCAGAATGTGTATCTGTGCTGACTGAAATTACGTGGAAAACCCTCACATCTGACACAAAACTTGAGCTTTAGAAACTCAGTCCCTCGAGTGTCAGCAGATGAAAGGATGCCAAGGGAAGCAGGCGCTCTGGGATGGGAGCCACCGCAGGCTCTGTTTCCCCAAATTTAATGACAAATTTCAATCTAGATCTAACCAGATCGGTGGAAACGGGCTGTAGGTTTTTGCTCTTCCTGTTGGGGCCTGACTAAGATCTGGCCTTTGGTCTCTTTTCCTGACATATACCAAAATAGCTGTCACATCCAACATCTTGCTGCCCAGACACTGACTTTCAACGTTGAGGTATTATCTGGCCCAGGGAGGTGTCAGTGGAGATCGGTTTTGTGCAGTGGTCCCAGGAGCGCCCTGTACTCCCCAGCTTTGACTACGAGGAGGAAACAAATGTCAGAGTAAATGGAAATGACCTGACAGGGACCCATCCTTAACAGCAGAGAAAGGGGCCGTGGTGAAGACTTGTTACAATAGGCTGTTTAATTTCATTTGGAGAAATTGGACTTTTGACAGATGAACTTCTTTTCCCTTGGATGCATATTTATCTAACAGAGTTGTGGTTGGGAAATGATCCAGGATTCACAAGGTCAAAAAGTGACCTGGTTCACATACTGTAGGCTCTTCCCATCTCACTCCGCAGCTTCCCCAGGCAGGTGGTCTGGTGGGCCGTCAGTACATCCACTCCAAAAATGGTCACCCAAGGGACGTTTCAACCTCTTGGGCTTGGTCCTTAGAGCTTCTGGCAGTCCCATCAAACTCAAATTTCAGTTCCGGATAGTCAACTTTCCTCTTCCCTGTTGCACTCCAAAGCTTGAAATTGTTCCAATGTGCCTGATGAATGAACATCTTGTTATAATGCATTGGGAATTGAGGCCATTAGTGAAATTAAAAAAAAAAAATACGTTGGATTTTTGTAATACCTTTTTTCATGAGAAAATACATTTTCATAGACCATCCAGTCTTTCTTGTGTTATCCCAAGAGTGAAAGAATAAAGGAATGTTGTATAAACATGCTTAGCCTTATCTTTGAATTTTTTTTAAAAAAATCCATTTTTAAAAAATGGATTATAAAGAAGTATTTCCTCCTTCCCCCTAGTCCTCTGGTTTCCTGGTGTATAAATAAGACAATTTTCCCCGCCTGATACTTAGCCTTTGTGTTCTGTCGCCTGTGGTTTTGTTTTTATCCACATACTTATGGCTCAATATAGAAGATAATCTTAGTAGACATGAAACTAGCACCTTTGTCTCACCTGCCTCACTTTACCCGAGTCCTGGGTAGGCCTGCTCATACGGACTTCCCTGGGAACAATTTTGCTTTGTAATAACTCCCATAAAGCTCTCCAGTGTCTCCGTGATTAAGAAGGTGGAGTGCTAGGGTGTGGCTGTTGGACTCACCATTTTCCCTCTCTTGTATGTTTCAGAAATCGAGGCGAAGGAAGCATGTGACTGGCTCCGCGCGGCTGGGTTTCCGCAATACGCCCAGTTATATGAAGGTACGCGGGCCCTTCTCTTCGCTCTGATGAGACAATAAATCCATAACGATTCTCATGTATGCTATGGGGTGTTTAGACTTCCAGGTTTTTTTCTTGACCATTTTGCTTTGCTTTGTTTTCCCATCAGCCTTTGCAGTGCCTAGGGCTTATCCTGATACCAATTTAGAAGCGAGTGTGGCTTGCCAGCCCCGTGCTACTTTCTGCTGCCCACTGCTTATTCTCCTCTCTTCACCACAGACCCATACTCTCGTTCCCCTTCCAGTGTTCTGCCATCAGCAGCTTTGCTGAAAGATTAAGTGACTTTTCAAAGGTTATAAGGTGGAGGAGTCAGAACTAAAATCCCAGTCTCTTAATCCTTAATGGTATATTTTCCACTGCAATGTGCACTGTTTGTAAACTCAAAATACTATGAGATTTAAACATGAAGAGTCCATAAATGGCTAAGAATTAAGGTTAGCCAAATGTATTGAATAAATGCAACAAGTGTAAGAGCAAATACTTCTAGAGAGCTGTGTGCTAGGTACTGTTCCCAGCACTTTATATATACTGTTCATCTAACCGTCACGAGACCCCCATAAGATAGGTCATATAGTTATCATCATCCCTGTTTTACAAATGGGGAAACAGAGGCCCAAAAGGGGTTAAGTGACTCGTGCACAGTTCCACAGCTAGGGAGGGATAGAGCCGGGACTCAAGGCCAGGGCAGACAGGCTTCCCTGTGTGTGTTTCTCCCTGTTACTCACACTCCCTCACTAGCAGGACAAGACAGTCTTCATCCTGGTGCCGTCTGGAAGTCACTCACATTATTGTTTTCATCAGAAAGGGAATTTTTTCTATTTCCAACTCACACTCATATTTAGATACCCTTACATTTATCATGATTGGCAAGGTGTAGGTGATACAAAATATAAGATGAAAAAGAGAAAAAAAGTGCCAAGATAATGATAATGAACCAACCTTGTAAGATTTACCCTTGGCCTCTATTCCAATGATCTCCAGATTGCTACCTCCATGAGTGAGATACCCAAAATTAACACCATGTTCCAAATACTGCCTGTGACCTTCAAAGTTGGCAGGAATAGTCTGTTGGAGAAAAGTTATGGTGTTGAGATTTCTTCTTCTTTTTGGATGGAATAAGTTGTTTGAGTTTTTCACTGATACTCCAAAGTGACTCAAGATTTTGCTGCAAAAGAAAACTCTTGAGACCATTGAGCTTTGGGTATTTTTTTGAAATTTTCTTTTTGAGGGAAAAAAAAATCTGCTAAACTTAGTATTTCATAAAATCATGAGAATAGAAGTCAGTGACCTACACCTTGGGTGGATGGCAAGAGTGTAAACACTCTTCCCCAAGTCCATGTCAACCTATGACTATGAGGAAGATGAGCTATAAAAACGCAAGCACTTAGTATTAAATCCTACTAAGGTCAAGTGCTTGATCTCATATTTCACACTTATGTTGTACTCTTAAAAGCATTTATTGCGATTAAAATTGTCTGCTCTCTTAAACTTTACCAACAACGGTGATGGGCAGTAACTGGTATTAAAATCAGTGGCTTGTACAGATGTTGATGGCCTGCATATGTTGATGCCCATTTGAATAAAACAAGGTGATAAATCTTTTCATCATGTTCTTTCTCTTTCAGATTCACAATTTCCCATCAACATTGTGGCTGTCAAGAACGATCATGATTTTCTTGAAAAGGACCTTGTAGAACCTCTTTACAGGTAAGTCATGTAAGGTATTTTTGTTTCCTTCTATTGTTCAATCTCCAGTAGGTATCACTGTATTGAGGGGTGATTTCTATAATTCAGTCAGTATTTATTGAATGCCTACTATGTGCTGGCCATGGATCCAAGTTCTAAGTGTACTACAGCAAGCATAATCAGTTTCTGTTTCCATGGAGCTTAAATTCTAGTAGGCGGCTTCAGACAATAGATTAAGAAAAAGAGAAAGGAAAAAGAGAGTGAGTGAAAGAAAGAGAGAAGGAAAGGACATTTCAGAGAGTGTTAATGCTATGCACAAAGTAAAACAAGATGAGGACACAGACAGTGATTGTGGGGCATGAATGGGTTAGTGGGGGTCACAGCATTGGTGGCCACAGCATGTGTGATCAGGGAAGGCTCTGAAAAGCTCCATGAGTATGTCGAGCTTGGCTGTGTTTTTTGCAAAGTCAGGTGATTATATCCTCAAACTGAGCTATGTAAGCTCAAGTAATTATATCAGCAAGCTGGCATATTTGAGCTTCTGCTATGATAGATGTATGATATACAAAGGTGTATACATGAACCATTTTCTTCCCTTAAAATAATGTATGGTCCAGTTGAAGAAACCTAGTTGAAGAAATGAGGTCTGAATGCAAGAACAAATAAGTAAGAATGACAATTTGGGTAATAATAAAAGATCCAACGGCCTCTATATCCCTGGACAATGAAATGCTGCATGAGAATCGGTGTGTGTGTATAGGCATTTGAAGCTTCCTAACGAAAGTCCTAGAGAAAGAGGTCAGAGCTGGAGGTATTAGTCATGGGAAATGAGTCATTTTACCAAGGCCGTACAACTAGGTAGGGACCAAAATGACCTTAAACTCCAGTCTTTGTAACTTTCAATCCAGTGCTCTTTCTAGTACATTCTGCATTTGGCATAGAAAAGGTGGTAATTTAAGGGAAAAGTAATGATGAGCAACTTTGTCAACATAGACAAGACCAAGGTATGTTACAATAGTGTGCCAATAATCTAATTTTAGGCTTGCTGGTTCTCAGATGTATGTGTTTTTGTGTTCACAAGCTGGTCGTTCTGTGGTTCCTATATAAAGAGAAAATAGATTTGTGTTAAGAAATGATCTCTTAATGTTCAAGAAAACAATAATGTGGGTTTGCTTAAGTGGGCAGAAGAGCAAAGAACTCTTCAAATCATAAATTACAGGAACAGGCTATTTGGACAAGAAAATAAACAAGCACAAGATGCTATTTGTGAGAGTTTATGAGATGAATGGATGATTTGGTTGTGATTCTTTAAAGGTAATGGATTGGAAAAGCAATGCTTTCCTCGTCTGCATGTCCATGATACCTGCCAAGCAGGAGTGGATTCCTCCTCATAAGCATTCATTCCACTCGGAGCTATTCAACCAGTGCTTCATTCTGAGTTCGCCCTCTTAGTGTTAACCAAGTGTATTTTTTGCTAGTTGTCATTTATTAAAAAGAAATAATTTTTATTTTTAAAATTGCATTATGTTACATTATCTTTTTCCAATTGAATTTTCAAAATTATGTTTTCTTTAAATTGAGGTACAACATGCATAAAGTAAAATTCACTGTGTTCAGTATCCAATTCTTGGATCTTTGACAAATGCCTATAGCCACGTAACCATTACCACAGTCAAGATACAGAACATCTCCATCACCCTCCACAATTCACCAGTTGGTCTTATATCTTATATTTAGAACATAGAACATATATTTCATCATCAACTTCTACCTCTACTCCCAATCCCCAGAAAGAGTTGATTTTGTGTGTGTGTGGGGGGGGGGAGGGTTCCTATAGTTTTGCCTTTTCCAGAATGTCACACAATTGAAATTGAACAGTATGTAACCTTTTTAGTCTGACTTCTTTCACTCAGTATAATATGTTTAAGATTCATTTATGTTGTTATGTGTTTCAATAGTTCAGTCCTTTCTATTTCTGAGTAATAGTCCATTGTGTGGATGTACTACAGTTTGTTTATCCATTCACCAGTTGAAGGCCATTTGGGTTGTTGCCAGTCTGGGTGATTATAAAGCCACTCTAAACATTCATATTCAAGTTTTTGTGCGAGCATAAGTTTTTATTTCTTTTGGATAAAATCCTAGGAATGAGATTGTGGTGTCCATATGATAAGTCTATTTTAACTTTATAAGAAACCAACAGATTTTTCCAGAGTGATCATACCATTTTGTATTCCCACCAACAATACATGGAAAGTTCCAATTGCTCCACATCTTTTTAAGAGCGTGGTATTGTCAGTTTTCATTTTTTTTTGTTTTGTTTTTAGACATTCTAGTAGACGTCCAGTGTTATCTCTTTGTAATTTTAATTTGCATTTTCTTACTATTAATGTTGACCATCTTTTCATGTCTTATTTGCCATCCCCATATCTTCTTTTGCAAAGTATCTGTTCACCTCTTTTGTCTATTTTTAATTGTATTGTTTGTTTTCTTATTGTTGAGTTTTGAGAGTTTTTACATGTTCTAGATATACATCCTTTGTCAGATGTGTTTTATAAATATTTTCTGCCAGTCTATAGCTCATCTTTTCAATCTCTTAGCAATGTCTTTCACAGAACAAAAGTTTTGAATTTTTCTGAAGTCCAATTTATCTATTTTTACCATGTTTTTAATGTCATTTCTAAGAAATCCTTGCCTAACATAAGGTCACAACTATTTTATCCTATTGTTTTTCTTCTAGAAGTTTAATAGATTTATGTTTTATATTTAGGTCTATGGTCCATTTTGAGTTCATTTTTGTAAAAGGTGCAAGATATGAGTCAAGATGCATTTTTTTGCATAACAATGTCCAATTGTTTCAGCTCCATGTTGAAAATTGTACTGCTTCATTGAATTGTCTTTGACCGTATATGTATGAGTCTATTTCTAGATTCTCTATTCTGCTTTATTTTTCTTTGTGTCTGTCTTTTCATAAATATGACACCTTCTTGACTACTTAGCTTTAAGTAAATCTTGGCATCCAATAGTGCAAGTCCTTTAACTTTGTTTTTCTTTGCCAGGATTATTTTGGCTATTCTAGTGCCTCTGCCTTTCCATGTAAATTTTAGAACAACTTGTCAATATTGTCAAGAACTATTTTAAAAACCTTATTAGGGTTTTGATGTGGATTGTGTTGAATTGTGTTTGGAAAGAATTGATATCTTAACAATATTTAGCCTTCATATTAATAAACACAGTGTATGTCTCTATTTAGGTCTCCTTTGATATTTTTCAATAGCAATTTGTAGTTTTCAGCATGTGGATAGTAAACACTGGTTGTACCTAAGGAGTTCATGCTTCTGGTGCTATTGTAAATGGCATAGTTTTTTATCATTTTAATTTCCAGTTGTTTATTGCTAGTATATAATGTTTTTTGGTATGTTGTCCTTGTATACTGTAGTCTTCTAAACTCATTCATTATTTCCAGTAGCTTTAGTTTAGTTTTCTTAGGAATTCATGTCTCAACTGTTAATGAAAGATTACATTTTTTAAAACCAAAAATAAAAATTCTATTACATATTTTTAAATGGGGATTGCAGGGGCAAACGTTGTCTCTGATTGTGCAGTTCTATTCACAGGATGATGTATGTGGCTTAGTGGGCCAAACTTTGACTCTCAGACATGTGGGTGGTAAATCCTTATCTGCTTACAGCTGCATGTGATCTGAGATGCCTTGACTAAGTTATAGGCTTTTCCATCAAAGTCTGTGCTTTAATGACAAAAAAAAAAAAGTCTTTCCGACATATTACAGGAATGAGCCAGTACAATTAATACAAAATCATTTAGAGATATAAAGTTTCTAGTGTCAGAAAAATCAGGAAGTCTTCTCTTGTGGAGCCCATGAGCCATCATGATGCAGCCTGTACATACATACCCTGAAAGGCATAGCCACATCAACATGGGGAAGGGCTCCAACGCGAGACACCGCAGCGCTCTAGGTGAGGGCCCAGCTGTGTAAAAATGGTTAGAGCGGCAGAGGCTGTTATAAGTGGAATAATTCTTACAGGAGCTGTGTCTCCAAAAATATTGCGAAGCAAGAAAACCATTTGGCTGGAGGTGTGTGAACTGAGATTCTCGGGGCGTAGGAGCTGTGGGTAGAACTGAGGCCAAAGGAGTAGTCGCGCCTGGGATGGATCAAAGGAAGCAGGCAGAGTAGGTAGATAGATAGAGCTGTCTTGGCTAAAAAGTGTGGAATTTCTTTCCCTTCGTTGCAAGTTTCACCAAGACAGATTTCCCAAGTTGCAAATAGCGGAAAGCAGGCAGAAGGAAGATCTCCAGCCAGAAAGGAAGGACAGCACTTCTAAAACTTTGAGATTGATGAGTGTTTCATTAGATACTCGCCCACTCAGATGGGAAGTCATGATTCATGCCAAGAGAGCAGCAGGGGGCTGTGATTTTATTCGTTTTCTTCCTTGTGCGCCGTAGACTTAGAGATGGAGCTGTCTCTGTTTTATTTTTAAAGCTTTGCGGGCTCTACATCTCGCCTTGAAATGCTGAGCTAATGCAGGTCATAAAGGGAATCACATCCAGAAGGCAGGTAACTTATGCCAGGTAGACAAAGGGAGACCAGAGAGCTGAAGACCTCCTGAAAGTCTCAGCCACCACGAGAATTTTACTCCCCTTTGGTTTTCTGCAAGTATCTGTCTTGTGCAGACAGACAGTTAGTGCTCTAGGTCCCAATTTGCTCTTGGAAAGTTGTTTAAATACTGTTACCTTTTTTGATTGGTTTGGAAGTATATATTGTTCTAGGGATATGGTTGGCAGAGGGGACCTCGGCCTGGCCCCAAATATGTGTATGTGTAGCTCTCTCTTTCTTTTTTATTTTTATTTTTTGTAGCTCTCATCCAGGCCCCACAAACTAGACAGGTTTGCTGTGTTGGCTGAAGGTGTGACCTCCAAAATGACAGTTGTATCTCCTTGTTGCTCCAGCAATGCTGACAAGACCAGCACATAGTAGGCGCTCTGTAAATATTTGTTTCTGCAAG